TCTCCTTAGGCACACTCTATGTCATCGATCACTTTCCTCTTTGGCCCCATAATCTTCTTGATCAGAAAATTTGGGACACTACCGAGGTACATAACGTTACAGTACAAGTTCTCATATGTCCTGAGTCTTAATTGACCTTAGAAGACTAGGGCCAAAATGTTGGCTGGTTTTGATTAGTTTTGATTAGTTAAATAGCCACGTAAAGCTTCTTACTATACAGTGGAGGAGACATTAAACCTCTCCTTGCTGTAGAGTTGATTCTCAGAAGTACTAACGTGTCTTTTGAGTCCAAGTCCAAGATTTCAATTACTGCTATTCAGAAACTTGTTACCTCCTTAAGGCTAGCATGACTAAACTTTATTCTACTCCAAAACAAAATTTTTGGTGGTCTGGAGGATTGAACTCATGGCCTCAGCAATGAGCTGCATCCCCAGTACTTTTTTTAAAGATAGCATCTCATTAGGTTGGTAAGTTGTTCAATGACACAAATTAAATTATATGTAAAGAGAATAAGAAGACTCCATGAAGGAAATCAATAAAGAATCATATCATAAATATAAATAAATAAGAATCATTCAGAAATCGTAAGAAAGCCAAAAATAGCTTCAAGGAAACATCAAGGGGATAGCCAATAATGTCAAATGTTTTACATACCCAGTAACAATCAGCTTTATTTTATATGCAATCCCTCACTAGTGATTGTTCTCTCCCTCTCTCCTTCTCCTTTCCTTTCTTCCTGTGTGTAGTGACAGGGATCAAATCTAGAGTTTTGGGATGTTAGGCAAGTACTCTACCACTGAGTAACACTCCAGACCACATTTTTTGGGGGTAGGGGGTACTAAGGACTGAGTCTTAGGCTCTTACACTGAGCTACATCTCAGCTCTCTCATGAAGCAGCACAAGGTAGGTTCAAACTTGCAATCTTCCTGCCTCAGCTTCCTCCCAGAGTGCTGGATTGCAGGTATGTGTCACTAGGCCTGACTCACTTATTCATGTCTTCATAATTTTTTTTCTTTATATAAGATTTTATTTTTATTTATTTCTATCACAATGACAACATAGTATTTTTTTTTATGAAGAAAGCCCTCCAAAACTATGTCTATATTTATTTACTTCAACAATAGGATCATATTCTCTAGGCAAAATGATAAGGTTTTGAAACACTGATGAAAATGAAAGGCATACTTATCTTAAATATTACCTGTACACAAGCAACTCCTGCCATCAAAATTACTAAGGAAAGCCACTGGTACACACCTAACTTTTTACTAAGCATAGACACAGAAAATAATGCTGTTGTGAGAATTTTCAACTGATATGTGACCTGAAAAAGAAAATAACAATATTATTGTTTGTTTCTTTTTTTAAAAAAGGACTATGAGAAATGTATTTTAGGTACCTGATAGGTAGCTGCATCTAGATTTGATAGTGCCACATACAGTAAATTATTCTGAAGAGTATATATCCCTGATGGAATAGCAAGCTTAAGTGTTTCCATAGGCTTATTAAGAATCTCATCATGTAGTACTCGATTCAGTGCTCTTAGACTACATTCTAGAACAAGTAAAATAAGAAAAATCAGTAATTAAGCAATTCTAAGTAAGCTGAACATGTTTTCTCGCAAGGTCTCAGATTTCTATTTGTAAACAGAGGAAATTGAGCCACATGTTAGGATAGCTTTAAGTCTAAAATATACTTTTGTGACGCTAATTTTTCAAATTTTAAATATGATAAGGGAGAGGCCAGGCGTGGTCATGCACACCTGTAGTCCAAGCACTTGGAAGGTTGAGGTAGGATCATTGCAAATTTGAGACCAACCTGGGCTACAAAGAGAATTCAAGGTCAGTCTGAGCTGCATAGTGAGATCCTGACTCAAAAAGACCAAGAAAAATTTTAAAATAAGTAATAATAACAATAAATAGGGGCCAGGAAGATGGCTCAGTAGAATAAGCACTTCCCTGGCAAGTGCAAGGGTCTGAGTTCAATCCCTGGTTCTGCTAAAATCAATCAATCAATAAATAAATAAATAAATAAATTTATATGTCTATATAGATGGAAGCACATTATGAAAAACATTATACTTTCACTCCTATATATGGTATAGCCAAATTGATTTCGTATCTACCTATACATATACATCTGTATGCACACATTTATGATAAACAAAAGCTCAATGTATTAATTTGTCAACGAACTACTCTTTACTATAGTAACAGTATAAAAATTCATATTGCGTACATTACCATTTATCATCAACTATTCACAGCAATTAATAATTGTAAAGATTTAACCATGAAAACAAGGTAACTCAGGGAGTGGATTTGGCTGCAAACAGAAAACCCAACTACCACTAGCTGAATTTTGACATGCAGCATGACTCAAAATCTAAGTAGCAACTCAGGGTCCTAGCCTCTGTATATACATTTAAATATACTAGTTTTTAGCCAGGAATGGTGGCTCATGCCTGTAATCTCAGCACTCGGGAAGCCAAGGCAAAAGCATCGTTGCAAATTTGAGACCAGCCTGGGCTACAAAGTGAGCTAAGCCAACCTGAACTGTACAGTGAGACCCTGCCTCAAAAAGACAAAACACCTGGCTTTTTACCTTCATGCTTTTCATTGATTATCTGTACAACATCCTATAAGGTCACCAAATGAGTGCTGAACCACTGATTCTTGATGTAGACAGCAAGAGGAAGAGGAAACAACAGCCTTAAGATATCTTTCTGTAGAGCTGGGAAGATAGCTTAGTGGCATAAATGCCTGCCTGGCAAGCACAAGCTCTTGAGTTCAATTCCCAGTACCATATCTTTCTGCATTCTCTCTTTATCTAGACTATGTTAGCTACTTGTACCTGCAAGGGAGTTGGGAAATCAAGTCTTTTATTTCCTCCACACTAGTAACAAGAAATGGAGAAAGGAATTATACACTTTGAACTAACCAAACTAATATTAATTTGACAAAAAATGTCAAAATAATTTTCAGAGATAAATTCCTCAAGAAAGGAAACATTGTAAGAAGCCCTATGCTTCACCAACAATGGCATGTTGTAAATAACCCCCTCTAAGATAAACAGAAATACTTTGATCATGACAGGTATTTGTTATTTTTGTTTTAAGACCATCTGGTTATTCAGCCAAAGCTAGCCTTGAAGAATTGGCTATGTAGCCCAGGCCTCAAAATTTCCTCCTGCTTCAGTCTCATAAACACTAGGATTATAAGTGTGCCCCACAAGGCCTGAGGTTAGCCCATGAAAACATTTTTGTTGTTTTCTTATTGTTTTTGTGATGCTGAGGATTGATCCTAGGGGTACTCTACCACTATGCTCTATCTGTAGCTTGCCCTATCTATCCATCTATCGATCTATTTATCTATGTTCATTTATTTATTTTTAATTTTGAAACAAGATTGTACCAAGATGCCCAGGTGGGACTCAACTTTTGATCCTCCACATTCAGTCTGCCTGGGATTATGGGCATTACAGGTAGAATATTTTGGGGCATTATGAGTAGGCTATTTTTTTTAATGAAAATTTAAAGATTGCTACCAGATACACTTTTTAGATCCAAAAATAATAAAAACATTGTTAACTAAAATAAAAATAACTGAAAGTTTTTCTTTATTAGAAAAAATCTACAACATTAGCTTATTTTTAAATTCAAGGGCTGATGAGATGGCTCAGTGGTCTGGGCTAGTGAGATGGCTCAGTGGTCTAAAGCACCTACTTAGAACAAGCTAATAAGCAAAGCACAGGGACCGCGGTTTGATCCCCCAGCACCACATGCCAGCCAGCTCTGCCCCCTGGTGGGCTGAGCTGGCCACACACACAAATAATTAATTAATTAATAAAAAAATAAATAAAATAAATTCAAATCCAAAGCAATTAATGCTATGATTTCTTCTCTTTAGCGAAAGCTGTGTTCCACAATCTGGCCAATTCCAGGTAACAATAAACTTCTTATAAAACTTGAGACAATTGGCAAACGCAAGGTCCTGAGTTCAATCCCCAGTACTGCAAAAAAAAAAAAAAAACTAAAACTTGAGACAAGAAAATTTTATCTTGTGCTTTTGACTTCCTTTATTGCTAATAAGACTGAACTCAAGGCCTTGCACTTGCCACAGTGCCTCTTCACTAACCACCCCACTCAGCCCCTGACATATTTTGATTATAGCTGGCCACTCAGGTTTCCTCTTCTATAAAGTATCTATTTCTAGTTTTTAGCTCCTTTTCCACTAATTTGTTATCTTTTCCTGAGTTCAGGAATTGCTGTAATTCTGGGCATAAATTATTAGTGGTTATATGTGACATGCATATCTTCCTACAAACTATGCCTTGTCACTCTACTTGGTTTGACAGTCTTGGGTGTTTTTTTGTTTTTTGTTTTTGTTCCAAGAATTGAACTCCGGACCTTGTACTTGTCAGGCAAGCACTTATTCCACTGAGCTATCTCCCTAGCAAATAATCAATCTCTCAATCTCTCTCTCTCTCTCTCTCTCTCTCTCTCTCTCTCTCTCTGATACTGGGGATCAAACTCAGGACCTTGTGCTTGTTAGGCAGGTGCTTAAAGCCTCTGAGCTATGTCCCTGGCCCTTTACTTGGTTTGATATACACACATTTTTCACTTTAATATATTTTCCCAAGTGACCTGTTTTTTTCCTTTATGGCTTATTTTTATTTCTATGTCTTGTTTGAAAAGTCATAAAGGTAAACAGTCCTGAAGTCATAAAGCTTTTCTTAAATAACAATATTTTATTTATTTGAAATTTACTTTTGCATATAATGTGCCTATTTGTGCTTCAATTTAATGAAAGCTAGTTTCATCACATCCTCCTTATTGCAGTTATTTGGTAAAGATATTTTTTACTCCAGAGTGTGTTAAATGCAGTGGATACCTGTATTCTTCCTGTTTTTTGTATTGGGGATCAAACTCAGGACCTTGTGCTTGTCAGGCAGGCACTTATGCCACTCGGCTATCTCCCCAGCCCTGGATACTGGTCTACTGTATTCATGCCGACCAGTGACAGCAGACTATTGGAGACTGTTTCCCCAAACTGCAACCCAGAACTCACATATTTATCACAAAGTACCAACACTATAATTAAATCCGAATACTGAGATTTTAGTTTAGGAAATAATTCCTATAACTGGCTTGCATGCCGACAGAAAAGAGTTCTGCATGACTGCTGCAGCATGTGGGCCATAGGTTTGCCACCACTGATCTAGACCCTTCTGTCTCACTATCTTATTGAGGCTTAAACTTCTGATCCTCCTTCCTCAACTTCCCAGTGCTAGATGCACCACAATGCCTAATTTGAATCTGACCTCTAACAACTAGGAATGATATAGGGCTCAGTCCTAGGCTTTCTCTTCTAGTATACGCAATAGGTTAGCTCACCTAATTCTTGACATTCTGGTTCCTTTTTGCAATTCTTGACTTTAAGTCAATATATAAACTGACTAATCCTTCAGTTTCACACTCATTCTCCAAGTGACGTTTCAATTTGAATGTTTTAGAGTATCTCAAACTTAACAGGACCCAAAATAGAAGCCTAAAATTTCCTTCAAATCTATCTTCCATATATCAATACCCTACAAGTATCTAATAACTGAATCTAAATGCCCAGAAATTCTTCCTTAAGCTGGATTTTTTTTTACTTACCTTTACATATACTATTACCAAATACTATCAAACTTAGCTTAAAATAAGATATAAAGATCGTCAACAAGTACTGGAAAATCATCATTATTAGTGATTAGAGACATGTAAGTCACAACGATGAGATATCCCTTTATACACTTTAGACTGGTCATAACATAAGAAGAGAGGGAAGGACAAGTTTTAGTGAGTATGCAGAAAAACTAGAACTTTTATACATTGTTAATGAAAACATAAAATAATAAAGCTGCCATGAAAAAGTTTGCCAGTTCCTTTTCCTAAAAAAAGGTAAGCACAGGGGGTTGGGAGATAGCTCAGTAGAATAAGTGCTTGCCTGTCAAGCTCAAGGGCCTGAGTTCAATCCCTGGTTCCACCAAAAAAAAAAAAGGTAAGCACAGAATTACCAGAGGATCAAGCAAACCTACTCCTATATGTACAAAAGAAATACAAATAGTTATTGCAGCATTATACATAGTTTATTCTAGAACTGTTCACAATAGCCAAAAGGTAGAAACAACCAAAGTGCCTACCAATATATGAATAAACAGAAAACGATACACTTATACAATGAAATATTATTCAGCCATAAAAAAGTTCAGCTATATGTTTCATGGAGAAGTCTTGAAAACATTATGCTAAGTGAAATAAACCAGGTATAAAATGAACATTATATGATTCAACATACATGAAATATCTAGACTAGGCAAATTTACAAGAGACAGAATGTAAGTTAGAGGTTATGAGGGGCTAGACATAAGGGGAAATGGAGAATTTTTAATAGTTACAGTCTGTGATGATATTAACTCACTAAAATAGAAAACTTTAAATATATGCATACAACTTAAAACAATAACTGAATACTTAAAAAATATGGAATTGTAAACTTATAATGGCAAATGCACACACAAGGCTCTGGGTTTGATTCCCAGCACTACAAAAAATAAAATAAGCATAAGACACACTTGAGACATAGCATAGTAGAACATATACTGTGTATTTAACATGTTTGAGGCTCTGAGTTCAATCAATAGCACCAAAAGAAAACAAAAACCAGGGTAATTACATGGTTCATGAATTACATCTCAAAAAAAAAAAAATTACTTCTCAATAAAACTGCTTTTTAAGAATCTATCATATTAGCCACTGCTGGACAATCTAATCAATGCAGCAAGAAAAAAGTCCTTACTAAAAATATTATTAAGACTCCTCTAAAGTTCTAGCAGTTTTAAAATTTAAAAATTTCCTTCTTTTCAAATTATTATACTGTAAATACAGGAAACCACAAATCATGTTTATATTACTCAGCAGACGTGAGACATAACATAGGTTAAAATATTTTTATTGCTAGACTGAAATTTTGGGAGAGTTCTGCATATATAGATAGATATATAGATATAGATTTTCTTTTTTCAAATTCATGGTCTCCCTATGTAGTTGAACTCACTATATAGCGCAATCTGGCCTCGAACTCAACAGCAATCTTCCTGTCTCAGCCTCCTGAGCGTTGGGGTTACAGAAATGTGCCATGAGGCCCACTTGTTTTGTTCTCTGAAACAGTGTCTCACTATGTATCTCAGAGTGGCCTATATCTGGATATACAACACAGGCTAAAATAGAACTTGGAATCCTTCTGCCTTAGCCTACCCAAGTGCTGGGATTAAAGGCACAAACCATCCCCAACTAAAACTGTCTTAATAAATTTTTAAAAAACATTTCAGTGCTCTGACTACTAGCTCAATTAGAAAAATGCAAGAATTCAAATGTGTATTTACCAATACATATTTACATATATATAATTAAATTAATTATATTTATTACAAACAAAAAAACCTAGATACCTACTACCATCTTTGTAGACTAAAAAAAGGCAGGCTATTATCTTCAAAAGTTCAGCAAGAACCACTGCAGTAGAAGATAGATAACGAGGTCCCTCCTCCTTTAGTGTCCTAGAATAACGCATTGTTAGAACCAAACTGGTAGTCTGAAAGACCAAAATTCCCAAAGAAAGGTATTTTAGGTTGGCAGACATCGTTTTTTCTTCACTTGCCTGAAAAACAAACAGAGCAAATAAATAAATTTATAACATACAGAAATGTCTAACAAGAGACTTCTAATTCTAGACAAGCTGGAAAAAGAACCTTTTTCTTCCAATTACCACAAGCAAAAACCTTGGACAAAATATAAATAAAGTACCAAAGACTCAATGCTGTGAAGTTTGTAGAAGAGAGCCATGCTGGGTAGTGACCCTTCTGCACTCACCTGAGTCTGCAGCCATTGTGGAGGAGAGCACTACTGGCCATCCACGCTACAAAGATGAAGAGCAGCAAAGAGGCAGTGCCTTTGCTCCTTCCCAGTGATTCTGAACACAGAAAGTTTAAGGAGCCAGAGTCTCATAATACTCAAAATGTCCAGGACATAACCCCAAATGAATGTAACCATAACAAAAAAACAGGAAAAAAAAAATCTCAAATTGGGTAAGTAATGACAATCAATAGACAAAGATGATAAAATTATCAGGCAAGAATTTCAAACAAGAAATTTCACAAAAATATAGCAACAAATAATTATGAACACACTTGAAATAATTTTAGAATTACAACAATTAAAATAAAGTACAACAGTTCTCACAAGGGCCAGCCAGATGGCACAGTGGACTAAAACGCCTGCTTAGGCAGGCTTAGTGACTGGGGTTCAATCCCCAGCATGCCGTGTCAGCCCCATCCTCAGGGTGCAATGAGACGGAGATTGAGACTGGGTGTATTGGCACATGCCTGTAATCCCAGTGCTTGGGAGACTAAAAACAGGAGAATCACTGAGTCCGATCTGTGTGGTAAGACCCTGTAGATCCTGCACTAAATACATAAAATAAAAATTAAAACTTACAAAGTTCTCATGTATCCCATTTCCTCCAACAAGTTAAAAAAAAAAAAAAAACCTTATATTATCCTTACTTTTTTTTTTTTTTTTTTAATGGAACTGGGGATTGATTTTTTTTTTTTTTTTTTTAATGGAACTGGGGATTGAACTCAGACTCTTGGGCCAGGGAAGCACTTATTCTACTCAGCCATCTCCCCAGCCCCTGTTTTCCTGTTTTTGTTATTTTCTCATTGGAAATTAAACCCAGAGCCTTATACATGCTAACCATACACACTACTGTTACTAGGTAGCCTGCTTCTAAAAGTGGCTCACCAACTAAACATTACTGTATTCTGAGTTGTTCAGCTCTATGGAATTAGATTCCAGGTTCTTCATCTATTTTATTTTATATTTTATTTTATTATTTTGTACAAGGTTTCACTATGCAGCTCAGACTCATAGTGATCCTCCTGTCTCAGCCTCCACAGCGCTGGGATTACAAGCATGCACCACCACACTTGGTTTCAGTGGCTGGCCAGGTATGGGGTTGGCAATGCTTATGGTACCAGGGATCAAACCAAGGTCCCTGCACTTGCCAGGCAGGTGCTTAGACCGCCACGCTATCTCCCTAGCCCCAGGTTCTTTATCTAGAACAAAAAAATTAAACAAAATAAGTAAAAAACTAGTATCAGAGTTTATTTAAGAAATAAAAAATGAAGAACAGGAGAGAAACTGGCTCTGCAGAGGGAGCTTACTCCAAGTAAGAAGATAAAAGTACACACTGCATCTGGGAAACATAGTTTATGCTATTACAGAACATTATAGCATCCCTCCTCAAGGCTGCCTTTCCTTTATGCGGTCCAAATCTCCAAGAAACTGCAAGAACTTCTGCAGATGGATTCTGAGAGTCAGTACTAGGATCCCATGCCTAAGATTGACTCAGGTCTAGGCCATCCTATTGAAAACCTAGAGTACCCAGGAGAAGTTCAAATGCAGAGTCTTAAAAATTGTTCTGTGCATGCACTAGTTAACAGGTCATTTTCCTAGCCAGCTTTTGGCATGGCCTAACCTGCTATCTCAGTATCACTGAGCTGTACCCCCAAAAGACTCATATTAAATATAAAGACACAAATAAAAAATAAAAGGATAGAGTCAAGTGTGGTGGTATATGCCTATAGTTCTAGCACTCTAGGAGGCTGAGACAAGAAAATTCTAAATTTAAGCAGAGTCTGGACAATTTAGTGGCTGCCTGGTATCCAGTACCGAAATAAAACAAAAAGATAAATAAAAAAGGTTGAGAAAGTAGCTCACTGCAAAGGGGTTATGTTCAATCCCCAGGCAGGGGGGAAAAAAAAAAAAAGGAAAAGGAAAAAGACATTCATCATCAGAAAAACATGAAGAGACTTTCTCAGGTAGAACAGATACCAAGAACTAATTTTAGAATCAAATAAGGATATTTCATAATGATAAAAGGTAAATACTCCAGGAAGCTATAGTTAAAAATGTGAATGTGGTCCTGTGTGTGGTAGAACAACCCTGTAATCTTGAACTCAATTAGCAAAGGCTGGCTTTAAACTTATGGCACTCTTCTGCCTCAGCCTCCCAAGTGCTAGGATTACAGATATGTACTACCATAACCAGCCTCTGGTTTGTCTTAATTATTTATATAACCACAAATAGAGTTCATATAGTCAAAGGTGGCAAATTAATAGGTACCACAGCTTATTATTTTAGGGTGTGTTTGATGCTGTTGCTACTACTGATTGTACTACTTTAGCAAAGGTGACAAAATTGTTCTAATCAGTTGTTCTACCTTGTATACCAATGCCTAGATTGCCTGAGTCATAAACAAAACTACAGGCCATTCCTGAAGAACCAGAGGCTAGGCAAAATAGATTAGATTTTGCCTATGTATTGAAGACATAAGATTTGCAACGGACTCAAAACTCAAAAGTCAGCTACACCTGGAAGACATCTCTAAGAAGGAGTCATTTCCTACTTGTTCTCAATACTAGCAATAAAGAGACCTACGATAAATAATTTACAAGGATCAAATCTGGAATTAAAAAGAAAATGAGAAGCCAGAGGAGCTAGGCATGGTGGCACACGCCTATAATCCCAGCACTCAGGAGGGGAGGCTGAGGCAGGTAGGCCTGGGCTACATAATGAGCTGAAGGCCAACTTGAACTGCATAGTGAGACACTGTAGAAAAGAAAAAAAAAAAAAAGCCAGCTACTCAGCTCACCCAAGACAAATCCATTGGGCAGTGACTTTGAAAGTCACCCACCTAGATTCTCTGAAATGATAACAGCAGAAGTAACAAACCAAATGAAAGAGGCCCTAGAAAAAGTTCATCAATTTCCTAGATGACTTCAGAAATGATGGCCACAATGAAGGGCATAATTAACAAATCTAGAGAAGATACACATTAAAAAATAAAGGAAATAGGGCTAGCGAAATAGCTCAGTGGACTAAGTGCCTGCTTTGGCAAGTGCAGGGAACCAGGTTTCAATCCCTGTCCCATATGTGCCAACCCCATCCCTGGGGCAGTCTGAGCCAGTGACTCAGTCTGGGTGTGGTGGCACATGCCTATAATCCCAGCAATGGAGAGGCTGAAAACAGGAAGATCACTATAAGTCCATGAGACCCTATATCAAATACATAAATGAAATAAATAATAAAAAATAGAAGAACTTAGGAAAATGATGGAAATCATGAATGCCTAACATAGGAAAGACATGGAATCCATGAAACACATTCAATCTGTTATTCAGAAGATTTTAAATTCTACTCAAAGTGTATGAAATAGAAATAACCAATATGAACACAGAATAGCAGATCTAGAAGAGAGAATTGAAGTCAGCAATGATGAGAAGAAAGACTTTTTTTTTAAAAGCATCTCAAAAATGGCAAATGAAGGGCCAAGGAGATGGCTCAGTGTAATAAGTGCTTCTCTGGCAAGTGCAAGGGTCTGAGTTCAATCCCCGGTTCCACAAAAAAAAAAAAAAAAAAAGCAAATGACTATGAAAAATCAATCAAGCAGCTGCTACTTGATACAGAGAATAACATAAGATTGCTTGGAGAAGTTAATAAAAAAGGAGAAGATATCACAAATGACATAAATAACCTGTTTACAGAAGTAATAGCAAAAAAAAAATTTTTCCCAAACATGGAAAAAAAAAAAAAAAAAGACATGCAGGTAAGTGATGTAAAACTCCAGTTATCCAGGATTAAATTTACTCCAAGACAAATAATAGCCAGGATTCTAGAAATTCAATACAATAACAAAATACTAAAAGCTGTTAGAAAAAAGAAATAAGGCACTTATAAAGGAAAATCCATCACAATAAGAGCAAATTTGTCAACACCCTTCAATTAAGAGGAGCCTGGAGATAAGTATTTCACACACTAAAAGAAAACAACCTCCAGGGCAACACACTTGGGACCCCTCCTGTCTCTCAGGAACTATTCTTATTTCCCAATGAGCCTTTCCTATGCTCAAGGAAAAAAAAAAGACAAAGATGAAGACGACGACGACGACGACGACGACGACAGAAAGAAAGAAAGAAAGAAAGAAAGAAAGAAAGAAAGAAAGAAAGAAAGAAAGAAAAGAACCTCCAACCCAGACCTAGAAAGCCATCTTTCAAAACTGACAAAAAAATTAGATACTTCCATGACAAAAAACACCTAGAGAGATTCTAGACCACTAAACCAGTACTCCAAATGTTCTAAAGGACATGAATAGAAAGGACACTATAGAATGAAGAGATAATGAAGACTACAACTCCATAACACAACCAAATGAGATCTACGCAAGCCAATTAAAGAAAGGAAGCAAATACAAGAAAATAGCATTAAAAAGATACATTAATACATATCAACTATAACCACCAATGTAATAGGTATCAATTCACCACTCAAAAGAAATAGACTGGCAGAATGGATCAAGAAACAAGACCCTAGACTGGGCGGGGTGGCACACGCCTGTAAGCCCTGCACTTGAGAAGCTAAAAACAGGAGGAACACTTTGAGTCCAAGCTGTATAGTGAGATCCTGTAGACCCTGTAGTAAATATATTTAAAAATAAGTAAATAAATAAATAAAGGAAAAAAAGAAAAAGAATAAACAAGACCCAACAATGTAGTGCTTACAAAAAGACATTTAGGACTGGGGAGAGCTCAGCAGCCTAAA